AAAGAGAGAGCCAAAGAGATCTCCCATCGACTGGTTTCTTCCCCAAATGCCTGTAACAACTAGGGCTGGGTCAAGCAGAAGCCAGGAACTGGATGTTCAATCTGGGTCTCCTATATGAGTGGCAGAAACTCACACACTCGCTTACTGTCTCCCAGAGTGCACATTATCAGGAAGCTGGAATGAAGACCAGGGCAGGACTCAAGCAAAGATCTTCTGATATGTGGTGTAGGTGTCTCAAGTTACATCTCAACCACTATACCAAATACTTGCTTCAAGATATTTGGATTTTAATTGAGGAGCTTATTAACACACAGCAGAGAGGCTGTGACAGAAACCAGGGTGGAATAGTGAAATTTGGGAATACTTCCCAATGTTAATAGGCAGACTAGGTTCTTGTCTTTGCCTGAGAAAGACTTCAGGAACGAGATAGAGGAGTAGTGGCATGGTAACAAGGTTGAATGGAGTAAGGCATTTGTCAGAACAGATGGGCATCCCTCCAGGCAGAATCCAGAGAGGGTACCTGGCCATTCAGATTGGGGCAAGCGAGGTTAAAAAGTTTGATGATGAGAATACACTTGAGGGGATGGCACTGTGGCACAATGGGTTAAAGCCCCAGCCTGCAGCGCCGACATCCCATATGGACACCAATGGCAAAGTGTTGCGTCTTAGGAGAGACTGAGTGAGCTTTCTGTATTCAGGCTGGGACTAATGAGGGAATGGGGTTCTGTTCTTCCTGCTGTTCCCTCTCCTTCTTCTCATGGACAAAGAGGTCTCTGGATATAAAGCAGGTAAAAGTACTCCCTAGATTTTATTGCTAGGCAATCCACTTGGCATTCCTGGGGTACCTTCCTTGGAGAGGAAGGCTGGGACCACCTATAAAGTAACTGGCGATTGGACAAGAAATGCAGTGTAAAACACTGGATTGCTTCCAAGGTGTACTTCTGGTACTCTGGCATTCCTTTCCTTTTGCTGGTGCTTTGTTTTTCTTAGGCCCTTCATACAAACATAGGCTATTTTCTGACTTCCTACCTAACATTGGGAGTACCCAAGCTCATCTTCAGGTTTGATGATTTGCTGGAAGGACTTACAGGGCTCAGAAACACTGTTATACTCACAATAACAGTTCACAAGGCTACTTCAAAAGGGTAGTAGAAAATGGGACTAAAAGATGACTTTATTTCTGGTATAAAAAGTTTTGGAATCCATACATGTGAGAAATCTTCATGAAGTTCATGAAAAAATGAGTATTTTGAAAAAAAATTATACATGGAATTCAAAATTTTTGTCCCCAAATAAGCTTACCTTTAATCATATTTTTCCACAAACTTTTTGAACTGCCTTCATATTATAGCAAAAGAATACAGAGTTAATCAGAAAAGGAAAAATATGCACAGAACAGTGTCCAGGAGAAACCACGTCTGGGCTTCCATATGTCCTCACCCCATGGAGTCTCATGGATAGTACCTTCTTCCTAGCAAGGACGTGACAACATGTGTGAAGTAGTGCTAACCAGAGAAGCCAGCCTGAGCCCTGCTGTGGGGAGCTTACTGGGGGGATCAGTCACCCAGGCATGGAGCACCTATCTAGCATGATTTTGAGTTTCTCAACTCTCCACCTTTCCTGAGGATAAAGTGATACAGTGTAACCCGGGGTCCAGGACAAGAACAGGAGGTCACTGTAAGTCACATTGTAAGCACACTGCTGTCTGGCGTAGGACCCCAGAACACAAAGATACTCTAATCAGCCAGAAACTTAACGGTTATCTCCCAGAGCCAGTCAAGAACTAGCCTTTTCTTCAGAACTTGCAGGATTTGAACACCCCAAATCTGCTGCGTGTAAGAATACACAGTTATTACTGGGTGTGCTGCACAGAAGCCTACCTTCAATATACTTAGCTCATGATCAGGGTTGTGGTACAAAGGTTTCTCGAGGGGGATTGAGCCGTGTGATCGTTATCTAGGCCTTAGATATACATAAAATGTGAATGAAAGAAGGAAATGGAGAACATCGTTCTATTTCTATTTCATTCCTTCTTACCAAAATCTCTCGAGAGCTGATGTTCGGGAACCAAGCTTCAAGCATAAAGCTGAAAGCAAGAAGAAATTCAATGGTGGTGTATTAGTGTTAGAAATAACTTAAATGTTTCTCTCATCTGGGAAGACACTTTATGTCAATGGGTAGCATGTTTTTAGAACAAATTCTTGTCCACTTTGCAAGGGAAAAGTGCTAGTCAGACACATTGCTTTGAACTGTTGTATTGTCCTTCCCCATATAGAAGCTGTGTTGAGAACGAAAGTCAACTATCTGTCTAAACTAAGTTGACAGAAAAGTCAGCTCACTAGAATTCCACTCTTTCTACTTCTCTCTCAAATCACTCATTCAGTGAATTCATGAAAACACATATAAACTTGTCAAAAAGTGGTCTGGACAAACAAAGCCAAACCATTGTAGTGTTGTAGCTGTAGATGTGAGCTCTAAACTCTGAGTCTGCACTGAGTTGGGATCCTCTCTCCTTCCTTTTCTGGTCACATAAATTTAGGCAAGATGCTCTACTTCCCTAAACCTCAATTGCCCTGTCTGTAAAATGGAGGCAATAACTATTTTAAAAGTTTAATTCTAATAATTAAAGGATATGACAATGGTTATAAGTTTACAATGCCTTCCATGTAATAAATTGTCACTGGATATTAACTTTGATTAAGTAATCACTGTGACTATCAAAGCACCAGACAAGTAACTTAATTTAGAGGTAGAATGGCTTCAGGGTTAAGAGCGTAAATTCTAGCATTGACTTCTGGGATTTTAACATTGGTTTCCCAACTATTAGCTTGGGGACACCATTACATCTCTGAATTTCTTTAGCTGTCATGGAATGAAGATTGATGGTGAAAATTCAGTGTTTGCCAGGATGTAGAACAGCATCTGATGGATAAGTTCTTGCTATTATTATTGGTTTGTATTTTTAAAACTTCAGTCTTCCAAAGTCTCTCCCAAATACACCAAATTAGTCTAGGAGAGCGTGAAGAACATGGATGCTAGAAACAATCATGGGTTCAAATCTTGACTGTGCAACTGCTCCACAGAATAACCCTGTACCAATTTCCAGGAAGGCTGCATTTGTTCATCTACAAGATGAATGGCCTCAGTCTTGAACTGACAAGAGCAAAATATTTCTAAGCTATAACAATCACTATCATAATCACTACCAATATAATTTCTGTGTGTCAATGATACAGGTATGATTGAAGTGATATATATTAAAATCTTAAGATCATATGGTTCTCATAAAAATGCATTTTACTTTAAGACATGAAATAATAGTAACTCCTTCAGTGCACATTTATTAAACAACTTGTATGTGTCAGAGACTGTATAGCAACCAAAGGTTGCACTCCAGATGTTCCTGCCTTTAAAAAACCCACATTCTTATTAAAAAAAACACATTTATAAACAAATGACAAAAATACATGGAAAATGGAATGATAGAGATCACACAGATTAATAAGGAGTCAAAGCAGAGTTATTTCCTGGCCTCAAAGACTGACAGAATGCAAGATACGGTAACCCTATCCTCTCTTTCCACCTGCATTAAGACATAATCAATCAATGCATAGTAAATGTTGAATAAATTAACTGAGTTCAGAAAACCACATGATAATCTTCATTCCATGACCTGGATTCTGGGTTTAACTTTGCCAATTATCAGCTATGCACATATGACGCTCCACAAATCAATATCCTGCCTGAAGGTCAGCTTTCCCACATAATAAACAGCTTTATCTATGTGCTCTGTGTATTTGGGGGAGTTGAGAATTTCTAACCAGCTAATGTATCTGAAGTTGCAGGAAAAACCCTCAAGTAAAATGTGAGAGTATTATAAGATTTTATCCCTAAAGAAAACCACAGGCCAGAATATTTTGTAAAATGCCGTAAGTATTATGAAAAATTTTGCATAGTAGAGAAATTTCATGAGGAAGGTAGGAACAAGATGTCCAAACATAATGGCTATTTTCAGTATTTATGAGGAACATACATGCCAGCGAAAACAGGTATTCTCTGGAAAAATTATACTGTGTCATCTTCAGGGAATCTCTTCAAACTTGCTGTTTGATTTGACTCCTTAATCCCAGCCTTCCAGACTCCGGGATATGGAAATGAACAACACTAGTATTCCTATATAGATATTACTTGTTAGTTTTTACTTGCAGCAATTTGTTTCTTGTTTTAAAAATGTATTTAATTACTAAAAAGTCATACTCATACACACAAACACAAGAGAGAGAAAGAGAGAGAGAGAGAAAGAGAGAGAAAGAGAGAGATGTCTTCTATCCACTGTTTCAATCCCCAAGAGGCTTCAAGGGCAGAGGCTGGGCCAAGCCAATGCCATGATCCTGGAACTCCATCCAGGTATATTATGTGGGTAGCAGGAGTCCAAGCACTTGGACTATCCTCAGCTCCTTCCCCAGGCACATAAGCAGAAAGCAGGATTGGAAGTAGAGCAGCCAGGACTTGAACCAGCATTCATTGCAGGCAGGGGCTTACCCTGCTACACCAAAATTCCAGCCCCTGTTATTCCTTTCTACCAAATATAACCTAGTAAATAAATGAGTAGATGCAGATAAATGCTGAGAAACAAAATATGGTATTAAAATATGGAGTTTTACTAGCTTCTAGCTCAATGTAGTTGATCTCAACACTGTGCCTAACATGGAAGACACTCCAAAAATACTAATTATTGGTATCGAGTCTTTTTTTTGTGTGTGTCTGTTCCAATTTGCCCTTTTTTAAAAGAACTCAAAACAAACCAGAGGTGTAGCTCCAACTTATTTGGGACTATGAGGTATTATTGTGGAGAAAAATAGCTCTTAAGAGTCAAAACTGTCTGAAAGAGAAGTGGCCTAGAAGATCTGACACGTAGGAGCTAAGGAAGCAGGGATAGTAAAAGACAGAAAGTAAAGGTGGCATTGAAGATGTGACGTGGTGTGTGCTTTCCTTCACAGACTGAAGCAGCCCTGATGTATGATGCTGTGTACATGGTTGCCATTGCCTCCCACCGGGCCTCCCAGTTGACCGTCAGCTCCCTACAGTGTCATCGGCACAAGCCGTGGCGCCTTGGACCCAGATTTATGAACCTGATCAAAGAGGTAAGTGGTGCTCCCTCACAGTGTGTGCTCCTGTGTGCTTAACACTGCTTGCTTTTCTTTTTAAACCCTCTGGCCTTTTCTAACATGGTTCGGTGGGTGTGATGGCCATTGTGGTGGAGATGCCATCATCAACTAGCTTCTTGGATTTCCATGTCTAGAATTTGTCTTGAACAACTACCAGGAGTTTCCAAGTGTGATGCTGGGAAGATCAAGGGAGCTACTAGATTTTAGCACTCTCTCCTTCATTTCATGCACAATCCTAGCTACTGCTGGACTTCCAAACCTTGTTTGTAAGAGCTCATAAGGGCTTATTCCGTGGTTCGCTGGGTAGTGGGTGGATTGGTCTATCACTGAAGGGTATCAGACAGAATTCACACCTGTTAGCCCACCATTCCAGTGGCCTCTTTTGCCTCTGGCTGGATAAGACTGAACAAAACAACCTCTTTTTCTTTTTAGAATGCCTAGATTGTTTTCTTTCAGCTAACCAGAAAAGTCTAGACCTATTCAAAACCTACTCAATGCACTAAAATATTTTTAAGAGGACAGAGTGTTTGGGAGAGGGGAGTTCACTAATGCCCTTGGGTCCTTGGCTATGCCCACCTTGTCCTATTCTCTGAAACAGTTTGACATCCCTTCATAAGATTCTATTCTGAGATCCTGAGATTCCTTATAGATATGTTCTCTTAGATTATCTTTGACTTCAATTTTCACCTCAGGATGTGTCTGGACTTGACAATATGGAATTGGGTTCTTAGGAATGCCCAGGTCTGATTGACTGCTCATCAAGTTCTGTGAGGCAGCTCTAGTATTTTCTGTATGAGATGCAGAGATCTATCTTTCAAATGAGGAGTGCATTCTTCCTTCCTTGTAATGGAGAAGGATGGAGTAAGACAAAGCTATAACAGAGAACAATGCCTGGAAGCATATTACAAAAGAAGAACACAAAACCAAGGTCAAAGGAGACATCCTAAGGAAAGATACCGGTATTAACCTCTATCTCTGCTGGTCTGTTTGGCAACTAGAGATGTTCTCAAGGGCTGTGCACTCTACTTCTTCAGTGAATGCTTCCTCTGACCCATGCCCAGATTAACCTGGACACTAAAGACTGGAAATAGGATGTGATTTACTTTCTTCATTTTTATGTATCTCATAAATATAACATTAGGAACATAGTAATTCTTTCCACCACATCTACCCTTCCATCTACTCCCCCCACTCTTCCTCCTCCTTCTCCTGTTTGGTCCAAGAAAAAAAAAGAAACAGAAAGAAATAAAAAAAGAAAGAATGGAATTAAAAAACAGAGAGAACTCTTCCTCAACAGTCTAGACAAGGGCTGCTTTTCCCCTTCCTCTTTTCCCTTCCTTCCTCCCTCTTCTTTTCTTTTTGAAATTTTCTTTAAAGAAGAACCCAAGAATACTGCCTCTTTTGTGAGCTCTTAGATATAACTATAACTTATGAGACATAATAATGTCCTCCATTTAATACACTAAGAGGAAGTGATTCTTGAGAACAAGGTTTACTGTTAAGTCTCATGATACAACTCTGTGGACAGAGGTCCTGCATGGTTAGTGCACAGTGACTCTTTTTGTTTATTTAACAAATAGCACTCTTATATATGACATCAATGATCACCCAAGGCTCTTGATAGGAGCTACCTAGGTTATGGAAGCCTTTTGGTAGAATGTGATTTAAGAATGCACTCATTCACAGGTACAAACCCTGCATATACACAAGACCTAGAAAGAGTTCTTCCTTAAATTCTGTGGCATGGGCACCACTCTTAATCTCATCCTAGTTTTGATAGTGGGTGTTTGAGTTTAAAGCTCAGTCTCACCAAAATTTATAAGAAATATAACTTGGACAAGTTGCTTAAACTTCATGGATCTCAGTTTTTTCATCTGCAAAATAGGAATAACACCAACCACATCACTGCATTGTTGTGTATATAAAGAGGAAAGCTATTATACTTGAAGAATAGTGCAGGAATGTAGTCAGAATCTGAAATACTAATATTATCTCACCATTGGACTATATCACTATTGACAGCCTTATTCAATTCACTGAAGATGGTACTGGAATTTAAAATTGCAACAACAAAAACAACAAAGAAATCACAAATAGGCATGAAATGAAATGCCCTTTCTGACGGCTCCAGGAATCTCACATACTGTGCCTAATAGCAAGCCAGCATACGGTCTCCTCCTCTTCCCACAGTTATGATGGTTATGTCCTGAATCACCATCCTGATTACCTTGATCTTTAACAAGAAAACAGCTGGTTTCCTTTTATCTCCTACCAGTGCAAGGAGAAGCAAAAGCCACATGAAAGCTTGAGATCAAACACTGGGAGCACCCCAAGCACATTTTTGCTTGTACTTAAGTTGCATGAGAAGGTGGAATTACCAAGCCACACTTAGGCATGTTTAAAGAAGTAATGAGCTCCAAGGTGAGGGATCACATTGCAAGCAAGAAAGTATTTTGTGTCCGTTCACCCCGAAAGCAAATCTCCCATTCTCAAGCTCCATGGTTGTGACCGAAGGGAAGAGTTTGAGGGGATACAGCAGAATCCTTTATCACCATTGCACTCACCTTCTCTTTTGTCCCCTGAGTCACCATGCCATATGCTACCTCTGGCAGGATGTGGCTACCCACAGAGAAGATGATATGGGGGACAGTGTAAACAAGAGCAATGCCCCAGCTGGCATGGAGGGAATTCTGAAACAAAGTAAGACATGCAAAAGATAAAACACAGATGTTTATTTATAAGAGCACATAACTTAAAATACTTTGCAGGTTTCTGGTTTTATTAGTAAACATGAAACAAGACATTTGGTCCTAAAATTTCCCCTGACCCTTTCCTTTAGTAATTCTGACTTTCTGAAGGAGTTCCAAAACCAGAATCAGAAATAATATAAAGGAGCAAGTCAGCAGATGGAATTTATGGGATGAAGATCAAATTCATTACAGGAGGTGAACTTCCTGAGCAGAGGTGGCTGTATGTGCTCTAATCCTTGTTAACTCCACATGTTATTCAGAAACAGTAAGACTTTCAGAACTGTCTCGCAAGCTGATCATCTTTCAACTTTTAGAGCTGTCTAGAAAGAAGAGAAGAATTTTTTAAAAAACCTTTAAACTTCATGGAGCACATTGTGGTGTCAGTTCTTTGGAACATTTACTAAACAAATTCATATTAGGACTTATGAATTTCCATTCAAAATATATTACTGAGACCATACTTTTTGGACAATATTAACATGTCTCATAAGGGATATTTCCTCCCAAAAGTAGAAGATATGGTTTATGTGATGGATACCCCCTAAAATATAGAATATTTATTTTCTATCTTCAACTAGTATAAATTCCACATTTTCGAAGAATATCAGACTTCATTTGAACCTTTCTTTTGTCACAGGATAAAACCTACACTGTACAATCTCTAGTGATCTTGTCTTCTGTGCCATCTCTCTCATCTCCTGCCCTGTCTCCAGCTCCTACTAAACCCTCTGTGGCTTCCTGAATGTGCCATAGGCTTCTATCATATTATCTCACCTCTGGTCGAAATACTGTCCTCCTCAGGGTTATCCTTTATGTCTAACACAAGCACTAGACACTAGCAGCTGGTCCTGACTCACAAATGCAGGCTTATTCTCTCCATTGCAGTCATTTTTGTGATATCATATTCCAAGCTGTGCTTTTTCAGTCTTGGTATTTTCATTCTTAGACAATGCTCAGTGCAGAATATCAACGCAAAAATAGATGCCAAACAAGTGAATGAATTAATAAATGAATAAATAAGTGAGCAATGTAACTGAAGAACACACACTTACAACCTACAACCTATAAGCAAATGTAAATACCTATGGGACACAGTACACAAATTTTGTAAAGGTTGTTTATCTATTTCTTTAAAGATTTTATTTCTTTACTTGAAAGGCATAGTTACAGCAAAAGAGAAGGAGAGACAGAGAGAGATCTTCCATTTGTTGGTTCACTCCCTGAATAGCCACAACAGCTGAGGCTGAGCCAGGCTGAAGCCAGGAGCCAGGAGCTTCATCTAAGTATCCCATCTCAGCATTGGGGTGCAGGGGCCAAAGGATTAGGGCCATCCTCTTCTGTTTTCCCAAGTGCATTAGTAGGGAGCTGGATTAGAAATGGAGACCCTGGGACTTGTACTGGTGCTCATATGGGATGCTGATGTTACATGCAATGGGATGCTGGTGTCACTGCCTCAATGCCAGCCTCAGTACACAAAATATTGCATCCAGAAACAATTCAGTAAGGTAGATTCAGAGCTGAAACTAGGCCTGAACACCAAGGCCAGAGGATCTGTTAGGTAAAAGAGTCAGGGTCATAGGAATAGACCTAACTATTTAGCTCCAGTGCTAGAAGCCAAGTCTTGGGGCTTAATCATAGTTTACTATCTATGAAATCAGTTTCATCATATAGTTTCTTTTTTTTTTTTCAGTACTGTCTTCTATAACATGGAGATTAAAATGCCCACTTCTAGTGTTTGTAGGATTGCAGACATAGATAGTCTTTAAAAGTATTTTTCATGTGGGGGTTGTTCAGAAAGGGCTGTTACCATCAAATGGAAGGTTCTGTTAAAAATGCACACCATGTTAGGTGGCCATCAAGAAAAAGGAAGGAACACATAGAAAATATTGAATATATTGCCAAGCATATATGCTGTTACTGTTACAGGTGTCACTGTCATTATTATCGAAGTCTAGGATGAAGTGTAGTTGTTTGCAAAAAGGAAGGCAGGACCTAGCAGTGGGAAATCAGGAATTCTGTGGAGAGAGGCACAGAGCCCTTAGGATGACAACTGCAGTGATGGCAGGGAGTGAGGCACTTCCTGTCATAGACCACACACCTAACTGTTTAGGAAGGATGAGAATCAACCAGGCTGAATGTCTTAGTCCTTTCAGGCTGCCATAACAAAATACCATCTATTGAGTGGTTTACAAACTACAGGAATGCATTGCTCATAGTTCTGGGACT